GAATGTGCAAGGTGCCTGGTAGACTTTGTATGATATGAGTTGATACATATATTGTGTCAAAGTCAGCCAGACTGCTGTTCTAATTAGAGTAGTGAAAGATGTCTACTAACTTCTGTGCAGGGAAGTTAGTAGACATGGTTATCTAAATTACATTAATCTAGGACGTTAGTAATATGGAAAACGTGTCAGTTGACATTCTAGAGCCCATTACACCATATGACTCTTCACCTACCACTTTTTTAACCAGTGTGAAAAATGTCTACTAACTTCTTTGCAGGGAAGTTAGTAGACATGCTAACTAAATTACATTAATCTAGGACTTTGGTAATATAAAAAAACATGGCAGTAGACCTTCCATAGCCTGTTATGCCATATGACTCTCTACCTACTACTTTTTTAACCAGTGTGAAATATGTCTACTAACTTCTGTGCTGGGAAGTTAGTAGACATGGTTAACTAAACTATCATCAATTCAGGACTTCAATGGTAGAAAAAACATGTCAGTAGACCTTCTATAGCCTATCATGCCACATGTCTTTCAACCTGTTGCTTTCTCAACCAACAGTGAAAGATGTCTACTAACTTCTGGTCAGGGAAGTTAGTAGATATGGTTAAATATACTATCATGAACTCTTGACTTGAAAGTATAAGAGACATCCCAGTAGACCCTCCCTGGCCTCACATACTACTAGTAGATTTGTGCCCTTTAGATGCTTTCTCAACCAAAGTGATCAAAGATGTCTACTAACTTCGCAGGCATAGAAGTTAGTAGACATGCTTAACAATACTATTATGAATCTAGGACTTCTCCAGGATACAAATCGTCCAAGGAAACCTTCCATAGCCTCACATGTCACACTTGGACCCTTTGGCTGGTTCCTGAACCAAAGTGATGACAGATGTCTATTAACTTCTGTGCTAGGGAAGTTAGTAGGCATGATCAACTATATTGTTATAAGTGCAGAACTTCAGCAGGACAAAAGGCATCCCAGTATACCTCCCATGGCCTCAAAAGCCATCCTTGTTCCCCCTATCTGTTTTCTTATCCCAAGTGATCAAAGATGTCTACTAACTTCACAGGCAAGGAAGTTAGTAGACATAGTGAACTATAATAAATCCAGGACTTCAGCAGGACAAGAGACATTCTAGTAGATATTTCATGGCCTGTGTGTCCCCCCAGTAACCTTCCCAACCAAACTGGTGGAAGATATCTACTGACTTCCATACTAAGGAGGTTAGTGCACATGATGGATTGTAAGCCCCCCCTCTTGCCAACTATGTCTCATATCCTCTACTGACAGTCCCAACACCTTCTACAGAGACTTACTTATATGTTCAAGGACCTACATGTGCATACTGTACCTAGTTAGCCCTTACTAACATAACTTGAAGTTAGTGGACAGGATAAGTTATTAGAGAGGACCCTTACAGCTAGGATCATCATTACCTACCTATAACCTCCCCTGACACTGGTATTGACACCCAAATTGCCCTACATACTCATACCATACTAAAATCCTCCAAATATCCCTTATAAAAGCTGTCTACTAACTTCAGACTCATCCATCACTAGATCAAAAGGCTTATATCTCCTTAACTACTCAAGCTATTGATAAACGGTTTGTACATTTGGTATCAGCAAAGCATTCTGCACAACTTTCGTTTTTTGATGCGCCATCAGATCGGGACGGTGGGCGGGACCATGGGCGACCCCAAGATCAACAGCCATCAGCAACTTTGATGGCAGTGATGAGATGAGGGCGGGGGAGGCGGGCAGAGGGCGGGACTTGACAGCAGACAGCGATGATGACCTTCGCTGTCATCGTGTCATCCGGTGATCATCCATTGATGCTCCGGCCAGCCCGCTCCCCAGCCCGCTCCCCCCAGCCGGCCTCCCCCCTTCCCCCCCAAAGACCTCCCGTCTACTAACATCCTGTCCACTAACATCCAGAAGCAAGTTTAAGGAAACACAGCGGATTTGAATTATCCCCTCTAGTTAGAGCTTCACCCCCCCCCTGAGGCTCTAACTAGAGGGGATAAGTGGGCAGGATAGGTGTGCACGAACATGTCGTGGCTTCACGGAATCCGCGTTGGATGCGCTGTGGTTTACCCAAACCAATATTCTCCACACTCTCGACGTCTTTCCGGAGGACCTCTTTCAATATGTCGGTCGTTCAGACGGAGGGTTTGATCTGGTCTGCACCTCTGCTGAGTTTAGTTCTGACTTGACCTATCTACAGTATCTCCGCCGACCACCTCGGCCGCACGACTTGCTGTATGCGCTGAGATATACGGGTCGCATTCGCCACCTTATTTGTCCTGCGTATGAGTATTCTTCAAGTTCACACTTAGTTGCGCAGGCATATGGCTTCCTGGTTGCCGCGTGCCACTCAGGCTTGCACCGGATTGCGTTGTTTCCAAATATGCGGGAGCTCGTATGGAAAGCGGGAAGTACTTGGAGCCTGAGGCACGATCCTCATCCCAGCATTCAAAAGGCACAGGCCTTCTTCCCGCAACTCATCCTCGTATCTGCGCCCCGTCTCACACATCTTCGACTGCGAACGGGCCGGCACTCTGCCTTGGGGTTCCTTTTACCAGTTGCCAGCAAGTTGCAAGTGCTCATGCTCGAGTCCCATGACATCTACGACCGCCTTTCTGAATACCCGATGTATTCCGAAGTCAATCCCGTCGCCCTTCCGAAGTCAGCTGAGAAACATTCGGGTGCTTGCCATCGGAAATCTGGATGACGCTGGCCTTTCTTATATCGCATGCCTGCCTCACTTAATGGAATTGGTGCTTTCGTTTCCTGGCCGGGGGGTGAATACGGGGGGCCACCTTCGTGAGCGAAGCCTGCCATTCAACGCTCTGCGCTTCCTTCGACTAAACATAGCCGCGGACGACCCAGACATACACCAAATTCTCCAGGATCCCGAGGACCGGTTTGCAATCGATGCCCTTGGATACTTTCTTCGGGCATGCGACACGCTGGCGCTCTCTTCGTTCATTGTTGACATCAAGCAGCTGGGGACTTGGATTGTCACCGAGCTGCTCGATATATTGTCGCAGCGCTGCTCCGTGGCCCAGCTGACCAAAGTTGTTTGCTTCATCGACTCGGTTTACGATGCAGAATTTGACCCGCATCCGAACTCCCTTGTCCAGCCTCTTCTGCGCTATGGGAATCTCCGTTGTCTCCAAATCGAGATAGGCTATGGGCTGGACATGGACGACCAGTTGCTAGGGCAGCTCGCATGCGCTCTGCCTCTCGTTGAAGTCCTCGTACTTGCCAAAAACATTGCATACAGAGACCAACAAGAATATTCCAGCCTCAAGCCACACCACTGGACCGGGTACGCCGGGTCGTTTGTTACCCTCGGTGGACTAGGGGTCCTCGCTCAGCATTGCCTTCATCTGTGTCAATTGCGGCTCACCATAGATGCGGCCTCGTCCACTCCGTCAGAAACTCCCCCGCAAAACTTGTGCATCTGTCCACTCAAGGTCTTTGACATCGTCGAATCGTCTATTGGGACCAGCCCGTGGGCGCGCGGTCTGGCTTCTCGCAACATTTCCCCAGCTGGAAAGTGTGCGGGTGATAAACGCCGAACGGTCTGCGGAAGAAGCCAGACGATACTTCGACGACCCTGACGAGTATGAGAACACGCTTGCACGCTATGGGAAGGTGTGGCAAGAAGTCAACGAGTTGCTTCCCCGGGTTCGCGATGTCTTGAAGGAGAGGCCAACAAGCAGCTACGAGGAGCTGGAGGAGTCGCTTGGCCATCTCTTGCGAGATTCGGATTCAGAGGACGGGGAGGTCGAGACGAGTGTTGCTGAGGTATCATAGTGATTGGAAGGACATGAGAAGCGTGCTGAAAAGTAAGGTATGTACACAATCCGTGATCTGAGGTATGATAGTCGTGTTATAGGTAGCGGATTTTATGAACATGGATATGGAGAAGCACGAAAAGATAGTTGTCATAGAGGGGAGTTGTGTATAACATGCGGGGGTACTTGTCCCAAACTTCCTTCCCGCACGGAAGATTTGGAGGAAGAGGTGGAAAAGCTCGAGACGCAATGCCGCTCCAGACAATGATGTCCTCAATTGGATGCAGGTTGTAGACACCTGGATATAACTTCGGAATGACTGGCCGTGGGTAACATGTGTGTCGGTAATGGAGAATGAAACAAAGTGTCCTGAAGTTGGGGAAGAAATGGCGAAATCGAGGTCGGAGTATGTCAAGAGCCTGTAATGACGCTTGTGGCAACAATGCATGTCCCGTTGTCGACAGTGGATAGGACTGAATGTCCGAAAAGACTTATAGACGGGGAAAGTGGGGGCAGGTATCGCGGCTGTGGTTTCTGCCGTAGATGAGGGAGGTTAGAAGGAGCCTGGTGTGGAGCGTAAGGATAAAGCACACAAGAGCTTATGTTGAGACGCACCAAGAAACGGGAGGAGGCCTTGTTTCTTGAAACCGCTCCCAGGTCATTCGTTTTTCGATGTGCTGCGAGGCGCAGCTAAGAAGATAGCTAGAGTATGGGACGATATTAGTAAGCTTTAATGGGAAAGTACAGTGGACATACCACGAACAGTCGCCATCTACATACCCAAAAACCGCTTTTTGCCCATGCTCGGATTGTGCCGTGCCCTTTGAATCACACTACATATGCGGGGTTCTGAGGGTCAGATATGTGGCCGCGAGCCACTAGATGCTACGCAGCATGGCCAGAGCACCTGAGAGGTTCGAAAAGGCATCCCCAGAACGAGGAGGAGGAGGAAAGGAAAAGTCGGCACGCGTGACGTCACGTTTCCCGAAAAGGACTCTGGTTGATCTCGTCTTCCACCAGCTTGTCATCCACAATGTGCTCTCGCCGTTGATTGGCACTCACTGGTGGCAATACTCGCGCTTCATATTCTCTCTTTGACTCAAAACACTCTCTTCTGTGCTAGTCCTCCTTCAAATCCTGCATACGAGTAAACGTTCACATAACGTCAATGTTTCGGGGCCATGGATGCTGTCGCCCGAGGAGCCTCCGTCAGCACAGTCAGTATAGTTTGTCAAGCGCTGACTGACTAGCGCTCAACGTCTTGTAGAAGATTGAAAGAAGATCTGCCGCGGTACGGCTTGCTCTGCGGCGCTGCGCTGACACGTTTGGATGTACGTTTTTTGGGTCAGCAAGCAACTCGAATATCCCGATAGTCTCTGAAAATGAGTCAATATTGTCCTTTGCGGCCGAAGCGCTCGAAATACCCCATTGCGTTTCTCCCTTGGTGAGTGCTATAAAGTATGTCTACAACTTCAAGTTCATTACTCTCTTCTAGAATGCTCGTCCAGATACTCCTCCCAATCGCGACCACGCTGCTCGCCTACCTGATCCTTCCACTCCTTCGAATACTATATCATAATTTCTCCTCGCCGTTGCGCAAGATTTTGCGCGGACCACCACTGAGCAATGTGCTCGTCGGAAACTTCAAAGAGATGACTTTGGTGAGTAACGAAAACCTGCCCCTTTGACTTGCGCCCATGCGACCAGGATGCCCGACGCGCGAGCGAATGGCGTGAGGAATATGGTGCCACCTTCATGTTCCATGGATTGCTCAGCGTGAGTTTTATCTGGGTATGGCTTCCATAACGCTCACAGTCCAATCAGATTCCCGAGCTACACACGTCGGACATCAAGGCGCTGAACCACATCATCACTCACTCCGAAATATACCAACGAGCAGATAGCGAGCGAGATGGGCTTCATCGATTTGTTGGTGAAGGTTCGTTCAAGTTGTTGAGTTCCCCCGTTTCTCGCACATAATCGAATTATTAGGGCTCTTATTCGCAGAAACGGACCAACATAAACGTCAGGTGAGTATTAGTCCATCTGTTCCAACCAATAATCACATATGGTCTGGCAGAGACGCGTTATAGTATGCTTGTTTATTCAGAGCCTGTTGTCAGCAACTGGAAATCTAACCTCAACAGAATCCTGCATTCACGCTTTCCCACATCCGCACCATCACGGAAACCTTCATTGAAAAAGCAATCCGAGTACGCTGCCATGCTCTCAGCAACTCTCCATACCTATTCGTCTAGTTGCGCGATATCTGGACCGAAGAAATTACACATGATGTCGACACCAAAAACGATTTCCGCGGCATCATAGACGTGCTGCCTGGGCTCAGGAAACTCACTTTGGACATTATCGGCCGCGCTGGTGGGTTTATCGGTTTCCCGCATTAGCCTGAAAGTTCTGATCATCTCGCACAGGTTTTGGCTACGATTTCAACGCACTTGAGGGCCACACCAGCGAGCTCGACCAGGCATTTACCGACCTCTTTCATGCCCCGCATGCAAACCTCTATGCGGCAGTCCGTCTGGCACAAACAGCTATACCCATTCTTAAACTACTGGTGTGTCTCCCGTCTACGCATCGGATTTTGATTTGAATACAGAGCTAGCCTCTTCCGGGAACATTCGTCCTTCGCTCCGCGCGCAACCGCATGGACGCTATCGGGCGCCAGATCATCGGCAAGAGCAAAGCGGGTCTTGTAGATGAGGAGGGGCTCAAGGCTCTTGGTGGGCGGAGAGACATACTTTCCGTTCTACTCAGGGCCAATATGTCCCCGGACTTGCCGCACAGCCAGCGCCTTTCGGACGCCGAAGTCCTTGCTCGTGAGTGAAGCATTTCGATATACTATTGCTATCTTCATCGTTGTAGAAATTCCCTCGTTTTTTGTCGCAGGACATGAGACGACAAGGCGAGCTCAGTGTGTTTCTGTCTTTTTGTGCTCATATATAACGAGCTCAATTTAGTGCCGCGGCCTCCTGGGCGCTCCACGCGCTTTCCACGAATGTTGCAGTCCAAGACGAGCTTCGTCGAGAACTGCTCGCGGTCCCAACGGACAACCCCACTTTGGACGACCTCAATGCGCTTCCATTTCTGGAGAAGGTCGTCCGCGAGACCATGCGGCTGCATGCGCCAGTCCTGTTCATGTTGCGCAAGGCGATGACGGATGATGTTCTGCCGCTAAGCAACCCGGTCATCGACCGTGAGGGCAAAGAACATTGGAGTCTCCCGTGGGCATTTTTATCTTCATCGACAACTGCACACGCTTATCTCCACCGCTCAGTGTTCCTAAAGGCCAGATCATCCATCTGCCCATCTGGGCGGTGAATACCTCGACGGAGATATGGGGCAAGGATGCATTAGAGTTTCGGTAAGCTTCCTTCGCTAACTCAGAATAATTATTGCAACTTATTCTGGGTAGCCCGGATCGATGGGAGAGCATCCCCGCTGCTGCCAGCGCTGTGCCCGGTGCCTGGGCTAATCTCTTCACCTTCCTGGCGGGCCCGCACCACTGCATCGGCTTCCGCTTCTCCCTTGCTGAGTCTGTTAACTCCCTGTTTCCTGATCCTTTTTTGCTTACGACTTAACCCAGACTCAAGGCAATCCTCTTCACGCTGATTCGCGCATTCGAAATTCGCTCAGCCAACGTGGAAGGAGGAATCGGGCCTGTCTTGAGCGGGGTGATGCAGCGACCGGGGGTGTTGGCGCAGGAAAACGGCTCGGGACTGCCGTTGGTGCTGAAGTTGGTGCAAGAGGTCTGATTTGTCGGCACAGTTAAAACAAGTATCTTCTAATTCACAAACTCTACTTCGTCTTCCTCGCGGCCGTTTGCAGACGACACACATCAATTTCGTCCTCCGCCGCCAGTCAGACGTCTTTCTTGTCTCATCGTGCAAACAGATATAGCCGTCGAGGGCTTCAAATGTCTTGTCGTCAAACTCGGTGAGTTGGGGAAGAGTTTGGGGAGTCGCAAAGCGTTGGCATTGACTCCAGCTGTGGCGCATAACACGTTTGTTACATGGTAGGACATCATGGTCGGGATGGAAGTCCGCGTGGCGGGTGAGGTCAAACTAGCCAGCACAGCTCCGACCCCGACTTCAATATCTTGATCGGCGGACCAGAAACCAGCCCTGAAGTAGGAATTAAGCAAAATAAACTTGTGGGGATACTAGTAGACGCACCACCAGCCAGTAGCACCAACAACGAGTTGGCCAAATGCTCCCTGTCAGGCGCCAGCCTGTGCCCCAAGCCGCCCCAAGCCAGTTCAACCACTCGTCAAATAAGATTCCAATGCGCTACATGGCCTTGTACGGTCGCTGGATTGCTTGCAGCTTACAAGAACGAAAGAGTCAAGCGCGATCAGGACAAAGGTAGCAAACATTTCCGCTCACCGAAGATAGTCTGCTTGGCCCTTCGCTGCCATTATGTGCGCTCAGCAACGCTTCATACTGTCCGGCTTGTTCTATGTAAGTTGTCGCGCCTTGTGGTGGTGGGCGAAAAGAAGAGGGAGTGGTGGTGGCTGTGCTAGCTTCGCCGGGTTAATCCGACACCATATGCACTGAATGCATCCTCTCATTCATGTGCAAACGCAAGGCCTCTACGAGCTTCCAGACCCGCTGAAAGTACGCGTGTGAACTCCCTCACAAGCTTTGGCAGCTCACCGCCACGTAGGAAATCGCCCTTGTCGCAGTCAGTCGCGACTGCACCGACTTTGAATTCACACAATTCGCCAATTGCTGGAGCACCTCGGACGAACGCACTAAATCCCTTCTTTCCCCTGCCCTTTTCGCCATCCTCGATCCAACCCGAATACCCCAAGCTACCGAGCTAGCAACGCTTTCTGCTCCTTCAAAGAAGTCCATTAGTCGGGCATTGGCGATTCTGGAGTCACTGTTGTCGTTAACCACCGAGGAGGAGCTTCCCGAGACCATCTTCGAACTCTCTCCCTCTGTTGTCGCGTGGGTGCGGTTCGCATACGACTTCCATGGTCATGCGAGTTTGGCGGCAGACAACTCGAACGGGGTCCAGACCAGAACGATGCTCACTATCTCGAAATCAGAGCTGCTAGTCTCTTTCATCCGCTTCAGTCGTCTGGTGGATGGGAAATGGATGGACCACCCAATGCCTGCCAGTATTCCCAACGTCCGTAATCCGTCCGACGTTTTTTGGAACACACCCGGATTTCTTGCTCTAGTCATTCATGCATGGGCGCATGCTATCTCCAACTTGTCGTACCCACTGGACGAGCCGGCCACGGACCTGGTCCTTGACTGCATGCTCTCGCTTCCCGAATACTTCGACCACACACAGCTTGACGAAATGATCCAAGCAGCTGGCGGCACACTCGACTGTCTCGTTTCTCTCATCAAGGCCCATCTGGTGATGACGCACGCCCTCCCCTTACATATCCGCACCGACCGCTATATCGTGGCCATGTTAGCGTATCCGCTGATATTGATAGTTGGAGCAAATGACTTGTTGGACTCAGAACAACAGGACTCGGAGTCCTACGATATAGTTGTAGCACGCGTTCTTCTGGCGCACAACATATTTCCAGACCTCTTCCAATTACTCTCTAACGCGCTTCATACACCTCCCCAGCCTGGCGTATCAACCTTATCATGCTGGCGGCGGACCCTCCACCTCGTTATCGATGTCACGAATCTCCTCATAAGCACTGGACCAGATGCGTTGCATGAAGCCCTCCGCCATGATATGATTCCGCAACTTCTTGCAACAGCGCGTTTCCTGCCTGACAAACAGCTTTCCCGGAATTTGACACGATTCATCCAGAAGCAGTTGCCACGTGGTCTCGTATACCCATCCACCCTCCCCTTGATCGTCGACGGAATCGATGGTATCGAGAAGTCCAACTTGGGAGAATTCTTAAATGACCCGAACTCACCACTCTTTCCCCTCTGGTCCCGATTGAAGAAAGATGCTGCTTACCAAGAGCGTATCCTACTTGTTCTTCACAGCCAAGGTGTCCGGGCCCAACTAGTCGCGTGCGACAATCCACCTGTGGGTCTTAGAGGTCCAACTCCTTTATTCCGCTCTGCTAAAATCCTTGCCGCTGCTCTCCAACAGTGCAGCCGCATCAAGACACGCGACGAATTTAAACGATGCTCAGGCTGCTATCTGCGAATCTATTGCTCGAAAGCGTGTCAAACGGTTGATTGGCGCGAGGGTAACCACCGGTCAATATGTGCAGCCACGAAAACAGAATACACACGTGAGTCAACTCAAGTTGGCTGTTGCGCGGATCACTTATACCTAGGGCCAGACGTGCACGCGATTTTCTCCAAACCCCAGCTTGCAATGTTCCGTCTCTCTCTGCATTCCTTCTACACGGACAACATCCTCGAAGTCCACACCTTCAACAGCACTCTCCGCGAAGAGACCGTGCAGCAACAGCTTCTCGCCAGTCCCAATTCCGACCCGCGGCCGGTTATGCTGAACATCATAAGTTTTCGGGACGGCGTGCCGCAGATAAATCAGCTCGCGATCCGCTCCGCCTTGACACTCGAGCCTGACGCGCGCAAAGCGTTGCTTCGCGACATCCCGACCCTGGACGACTGGATTGACCGCGCGCGGCGGAGCAACGGGCGGATGCTGCTCCATATCATGGTTGTCCCCATTGGAGTATTCAAACACGCATTAATTTTTCCGTTGCGCATGAACATGGCTTTCTTGGAGGATGCCGCACTGAGAGCGGCGCGGTCCATCGATGGACGGGAGGACTACGAAAGTGTTATGCAGTTGGCGACATTGTTCCAGGCAACGAGGCCGCCAGAGAGACTTGTAGCTATTCACCAGTAGAAGCAGGTAATTACCAGTAGTCAAAGAGATTATGAATAGATAGTAGTAAAGATAACGACGGTGGTATCAATAGTAGCAGGGAACGGAAATAAGTACGAGGATATAAGAAATATGCTCGGTAGTAGACAGGGCGACATACATTGAATGAGCATATCAACAGGATACACTGGCACCTCCAGCCCACATCATGCCCGTTGTCCCACAAACCATGGCTACAGTGGCCCCGCCGAAAACGTGCCCAACAACTGCCTTCCACGCAGAATGGCGCGGGAAAAAGAATTGGGTAGCACGAGTTCGACATATTCCATATAAAGATTCACTGGGTTTGGTCGCACGTCCTGTGCCCCTCGAGATACATCGCAGTCTTTCGAAAAGAAGGGTGGCACGTGACTTTCCATTTTCGGACAACCGGAAAAATGGCGGGCACGCGTAGTGGAGACAGGGAACTCGGCGCCGCCGCGGGTGGTAGTTGAAAGCATTCGGGAAGGCATGATAAGCTGGGTTTAAATAACTGTGGTATGTTCCAGCAGTGCAGCAAGGCTGGAGCATTGCCGACGTGTGAGTCGAGGAGTGGTGGGAGCCAGTCGCATGGCTTGCGTGTCATGGTGTTGGGGTCGAATGGAGAAAGAGGGCGGCAGATGGAGGCGGTAGCGGGAATGAAGAGCTAAGGAGATGTGAGGATAGGCGAAGAGAAGCCGACACTCAGGCTGTTTTTCACGCACAAGTTTCCCGCAGGCTGCAGCTCTCGGTATTCGTGTAGACGCCTTGGCTTTGGGATAGCACATCGTTGGAGAGTCTCGGATGCGTTGACTGGCCGGGAGTAAGCGAGGACAAGAGCCGCAAGCAGGGGACACCACGAGGGGGTGATAGGTCTAATCGTTTTCGCATCGATGTGGTCGTCTTTGAGCGAGACGAAGGCCATGTCGGTTCCTTGATCGACGTTTACTCGGAGTCCCAGCTGAGCCTGAACGGGGACTGGTCAGTAGACATATTGCGAGATGTGGCCTTTTGACGTACACCGGCATCCAGTCCCGTGTTCCAGCGCTCTTCCGCAAACCATCCTTGAGTCTAGCAGCCTTGTAGTAGCATAGGACAGCTGGAGAGCGGACTGAGCGAATAGCAGTGTATGATTGTGCAAAGGTCTGTTTTTGCAGCAACTATCATCCTCCCAGCGCGGATTGGTTGACGAAATCCTCCTGTTTATCTTCAAACAGCTTCGAGACTGAGAGGGTCATTCGATGAAGGAAGAATGGCGAGCTTCTGGTGGGCGATGGAGTGGGTCGGGCGGACGGAGGTGGTGGCTCGGGGTAACGTATCGATGGTCACGTGCTACTGATCTACCCTACTACAGGTGCCCCCTGTTGAAATGGCGACGTCCTCGTCGCCCGCTGAACTCTCTAAACCCACAAAAAACCCATATCATGTACCTCTGTAACTGCTATAATCTTCTAAATGGGATAGGTTGGCTGTTGATGGCATGTGAAGACGACCAAATCATGGTGTGAAATCGATGGAAGCGTGTGTGCAGCGTCGAAAACGGATGTAGGCGCAGAGCAAGGTCAACAATGCCATCCCCCACAGGACTCCACACCCTTGGATAACGTTCCGATGTCGACGGCCAGCCGTTGCTGACTCCACACCCTTGGACACGCTCCGATGTGGACTAGGGTGCTGTGAGTAATCACCCCCCGTTTCGAAACAGCTTCTAAACACCCCCCGTTTTGAAACAGTTTCGAAACCGGCCGCTTACCGGGGCCGGACCACCCGGCGCTCGTAGCCGGCGATGGTTCCAGTCGGTCCGAATCCAGGCCAACTGAGCTTGGTGACAGGAACTCCGCGGAAGTCAGCGATGGCTCGGCGACGGCCTCAGTTGGCCGGCGAGGCCATAGCATCCGTTGCCGATGGGGTGGTGCAGGTATCCGGGAAGCCATGGGCCGGTCCCGGAGTCACGTGTCGGTTTCGAAACCGGGTCGACCCCCAGCCGATTTCAAAACTCACACGTGTTTCGAAACCGGTTTCAAAGCCGTTTCGAAACACATTCAACTCATAGCACCCTAATGTGGACGGCCGCTGGCAAGAATGACACAGCCTCACGAGGACTGCGACGGCCTAGATGACGACTGGGCGATGGTGGTGGATGTCAGGGGAACCTCCCTTTCGGCCCGGAGACGCGCCCGACTCCGGTCCGACTCCGGTTCCGACTCCAGTCCGGCCCTCCATCTCGCCCGCACAATCACCGATCCGTCAACGCCCTCCCGACGGTCGCCCTGGGACCTCGCCTGCGACGCCGCCCAAGCCTTCTGTGCCCGACAGCGGCAGCTACGGACAAGCAGTATATAGTCAGCTACCTAGCAGGCGGACCCTTAGAGTTTCTTCTCTTCGGATCCTCCCCTGCTAGGTCAGCTTCATTTGTATTTGCTTACCAATGTTCACTCTTCGGATCCTCCCCTGCTAGGACCTTGATCTCAGGCCTCCGGGGTTGCCCTTACAGCAGAAGAAACTCTCTACGGGATCAACCGGACAAGATTGCCAGGTTCGGGCGCTAACTCAGGCTCGGAGTACGAGTCCGTTCCGCCCTCGTCACCACCCCTGCCACTTGTCCCCTCCTCCTCTACTCCTGTGGTCCCCGCACCCGTCATGCCGTCCGGAGTCACTCCTACCGCAGACGCCCGGCTGGACTCACTCGAGGCGAAAATCGATAGCCTAACTGAGGCCCTTGCTTTACTCACCAACCAGGCTTCCGCTGCCGCTGCCGCCGCTAATAATGCTGGCGGACCCCAAACACCATCGCCGGAGACGTCGATTCCGACTCCGACTCCAGTCCAGGGCGACTCCGAAGCCCTTTTTGGCGACATCAACCTCGCCTCAAAATTGGTCTTGCGACCAAACCCCCCGTTCACCTTCAACGGCGACCGGAAACGCAGCCGCGCGTCCTCTCACGCGGTCCGCACCTACGCCCGCCTTGCCCCTGAGGCCTTCGTGGTCAACGGAGAGGCGAGCGAGGAAAAGGCCGTCCGCTATGCCATGTCGTTTATGGCAGAAGGACCCGCTCAGCAATGGGCGGAGCGCCACGGAAGCAAAGCCCCGTTTCCGTTTCCGTCCTGGGGCTCGTTCGTTTCCAAGTTTCGACTCCGGTTCGTCGAGGAGAACGAGCAAGATCACGCTCTCTCCAAGCTGGAGACTTCCGCCTATCACATGGGTACAAAGGATGTCTACCAGTACACCGACGACTCGAGGACCTGATGGACCTCGCCGGATTCAAGACGCGCTGGTCAAGGTGACCAAGTTCCGCCACGGACTTGACCCCTTGATCAATAACGGAATCACGTCCTCAAACGACCCCCGGACCTCCGGGATTACCTTAGCTGGCGCACCCGGGCCTTCCGTCAATACGAGGCCCTGGTCCGGGCCAAGCTGATCAAGTCAGCCGCCCCCAAGACGCCTGGTGGTTTGATTCGGACTCCGTTTCCGGTCAACCGCATCCCGGCTCCGGCCCCTTTCCGCCCGGTGGCTCCGGTCGTGCCACCCGCGGCCCGCGCCCCGCTCCGGCGCCTCCAGCTCCCGTCCCTATGGAGTTGGATCGCACCAGGGCTCGGGGTGCCCCTCGTCGCGCCTGCTTCAGGTGCGGCGACCCAAACCATCTCGCCCGGGATTGCCCCCCCCCGCCGATGTCCACTCGATGGACATCCTTGACGAGGTGATCCAACAACTCGGTGACGAGATGTTAGCGGAGTTGATCGCCCGCTACACGGACACAGCTGCCCTGCCGGAGACGGCAGCGGAGTCGATGGCCGGAGAGGATTTTGTCCCCCGCGACGAGTGACTGGTGTGCCCTCGTTCGCGTCTATAAATCATTTTGCCTCTTTGTATGATGAATGCAGTTCCTTGCCCTACAATGAGCCCGAAACGAAAGACACACCCTCTCCTGCCCCCCGCCTCGACTCCGTCTCCGACTCCGCCCGCGACTCCGGTCATCGTCTCCTCCGCCGCCTCACTGCCTGGGAAAAGAAACTGCCCAAGCAGTACACCGTTGCCGCTGCCCCTGGGGCGAACTCCCTCCACCTCCCGTTAGAGCTCGAGTCCCCACCACCAGCGCTGAAGCTCTCGCTCTCTGGGCTTGTCGACTGTGGTGCCACCTCCGACTTCATTGACACGAACTATGTCGCTCGGAATGGCATTCCGGTCCGCACTCTTGATCAGCCGATTCCGGTCTTCAATGTCGACGGCACCCCCTAATGATGCCGGCTCCATCAAACAGATCGCGGACTTGGTCCTGCGCTACAGAGGCCATGCCGAACAAGTTCAACTGGCCGTCACCCATCTTGGCAAGCAAGACCTCATCCTGGGGTATTCCTGGTTGCGGAAACATAACCCAGAGATCAATTGGGAAACCAAGGAGGTCAAGATGACACGGTGCCCCCGCAATTGCTCGACCTGCCGTGAGGAAGAGCGCGTCGAACGGACCGAGTTGCGGCGACTCCGGTCGCTTCAGAAGCGTCTCCGCTCCGGCCCGTTCCCCTCGGTCTGCGCCATGGACCTTTCTGGGTCTGATGACGGAGACGATTCCGTCTCCGGTGACGACTCCGGCCTGCCTGATCTGACGCCGGACTCCGGACGACGATGATGACGATGGTCAGCTTGAAGATGGTGACCGCATCTTCTACACCTCGTTCCGCCCCTCGGAGGAGAGATACGCTGGCAGTACTGTCTCGCAACGCCTGGCCGAAGCCTTCGCCAGGAACTCCGCCCCTCCGCCCTCCGAGATCCCGGACTGGGCTAAGGAGTTCCAGGACGTCTTCAACAAGGAGTCCTTCGACACGCTACCGGAGCGGAGAGCCTGGGACCACGCTATTGAACTCGTCCCCGACGCTAAGCCCACCAACTGCAAGGTGTACCCCATCTCGCCCCTCGAGCAACGCGAGCTCGACGCGCGTTCATCGAGGAAGGGCTTTCGACGGGCCGGATTCGCCCCTCCAAGTCTCCGATGGCGTCTCCGGTCT